GATGGGATGGGATGGGATGATGGGATGGGATGTGCTCTGTGCTATGTTCCACAGCTCTGCAGCAGTGATGCAGCCTTGTGCTTTCAGCACCTGCAGACAGCTGATAGTTGTGGATGTGTGGGTTGGTGTGGCAGAGCAGGGAGTGTGGCAGAGCCCCTCGCCTGGCTCAGTCACACACAGCATCCTCGGGGCCAGGCCTGCAGCTTCTGCCTCCTCCAGCTCCTCCACGGCTATTTCTGACAAAGAAAGAGTCCATGAGCGCTCAGTTCTGAAACAAAGGCCTAATGAAAGGGCCGGGCTGCCCCGGCTGGCAGTGGCTGTAATTCCTGGCAGGGTGTGACATGCCCATCCTCTCGAATTAGCGCGGGGCACGAGGAATTTGGCACGGTGCTAATTGCCATCAGAGGGAACAAGTGGCCTCAGTATGTGGGCACGTGGTGGGACAAAGGGAGCGCCCCGAGCCCCCCCAGCCCCACAGGGGCAGGTGCTGCCCGCCCGGGGCAGGCGTCAGGAACCCCCCTTGTCTCCGTGCTGGAGAGAAGGACTCGGCTTTAATTCACTGTGGGCTTTGTCAGATGCTCTTTCTTTGCCATACAGGAACTCAGCTGCTGCAGAATCAAGGCAGCTGCTGCTGGGAAAGCTCCCTGGCACACTGGGAAAGCTCCCTGCCATGCTGGGAAGGCTCCCTGCCATGCTGGGAAAGCTCCCTGCCATGCTGGGAAAGCTCCCTGCCATGCTGGGAAGGCTCCCTGCCAGCTCCAGCCGGGCAGGAGGGATTCCTGTGTCATTCCAGAGTCCAGGAGAGGAGCTGGCAGGGCCAGGCAGAGGGACAGGCTTCCTTCCAGCACAGTACGCTTTCCAGAAAGCAGTCAGTCCTTTTGTGACAGGTTCTGAGCCATTTCTCTCCATCTGCCCCACCCAGGGGGAGCAGGGCCCTGAGCCAGTGACAGGCACATTCCTGGGCAGGGCAAGAGCAGCCCCTGCCCTCCTGCATCCATCCCAGAACAACGAGAGGGATTTCGGCCCCTTTGCAGTTGGATTTGGAGGACGATCCTCCAAGGTGGGGGGTGTTTGCAGGGAGATTGCTCCCAGCCATGGCAAGGATTTCCTTCCTGCACCAGTCAGTCAGAGGGTGGAGTCAGGTATTCACCAGGATCTGGCCTGGTGGTAGCCAAAGGATGGTTGTCACATCTCCAGTGCCACCTCAGGGACTGGGGGAATGCAGGCTCCCAGCACCTGCCAAAGTGCAGAAATGGATCCCATTATATGGCCATCACAGGTGTGTGGGCACTCTGAGCTCCAGGTGGTTTGGCAGAACTCTTCTCTCTTACACTTGACTTTTCTGAAAAACTCTGCATGTTCCTCTCCTTACCTGTGTGTCACTTTGCTTTCTCCTCTTGTAAGGTGTTCATGACTAAGCTGAAGCAGTGCAGGATTTCTGCTCCATCCCTTGCTAGTGTTCTGTTTGTGCCATTTCTTCCTGTCTTTTTATCAGGAATTCACAGGAAGATTAATCCCTCTTACTCCATGACAGTTTAGTTTCTTTAAGAACCTTTAGTGAGGGATGTTCTAGAAAAGCTTTGAGAAAATCAGATTCCACTGTATCAGCCCAAATCTCCTGTATTAGCAGGGCTGGTTCCTCATCAGATGACTCGGATCTGTGCATTTAAACTCTGCTCTTGTCTTTCAGGCTCAGCCCTAGACATGCGTTTATTCATTGCTGCTAATTCTGATCAGTCCCACAGTTTTCTACCCTTTTGCCTGTTCTGGAAATCAGACTTTGTGGTCTGTCATTCCCAGGGTCACCCCTAAGGCCTTTTGTAAAAATTTGTCACCTTCCAATCTCAGATGCAAAGGAAGAAAGTTCAGCAATTTCATATTTGGGCTCCTTGAGGAAGCCCTGTCGGCCTCTGGTGATTTGTTGCTCTGGCATATGAACCCTGCTGACCCCTGCCTAGTGAACGACAGGGCAAGGAATTAATTTAATTTTGCTGCTGTGCCCTTATCTTTCTTAATTCCCCCCTTTACTCCTTGCCCATCTATCAGCAGCTCTGGGTGACAGACAGGCTTCCTGCTTTTGTGTTGGAGGAGCTTTTATTAGCTCTACGAACTCTGATGATTGTTCTCCAGACCCTGTTTTGCCTTGCCTTATCATGGGTTTGCACTTAGTGTGCTGGGTTTATATCCTTTTCTATTTTTATTGTTTGGAAACAACTTCCATTTTCCTGAAAGTGCCTTTTTTTATTTCAGATAACTTCCCTTTTCCGCTGGTTTAAACCAAGCTTTGAATGTGTGGTGGTTTAGCCTTTCCCCTGGTGTGTCCCACAGTGTTCAGAGATTCCCAGGATGGTTTGGGTTGGAAGGGCCTGAACATTCACCACACCCCACCCCTGCCATGGCAGGGACACCTTCCACTGTCCCAGGGTGCTCCAAGCCCTGTCCAGCCTGGCCTGGGACATTGCCAGGGATCCAGGGGCAGCCACAGCTTCAGGTGTAGAGCACAGACAGGAGCAACAAACTGGGCAAAGCAAACAGTATCTCCTGAGGGTTCTGTCATTTCTAGTTATAAATTCCTAACAGCCACAGAGGTGTGACTGCAGCAAGAACCACCTCTGGAATAGGAAAGTTCTGTCCCAAAAACCTCCTGGCATCAGTTGCATGACACCTCCTGGTCAGCTGCCCAGCCAGGTGCCAAGCTGTGCCCCAAAGGAGAGTTTCCCTGGGAAGCAGAAGGCTGTCCATCAACCAGGCTGTTTGCCCTGGCTCTTCACTGGGTTTGTTTTCCTTACTGATGTCTCTGCTCCCCTGCTGGCTATGTGAGCAGCCAGACTGGGCTGCACTGGTTGGAGCAGGAGAGACCACAGAGCCCCTGGCTGTGCCCACAGATCCCCTGGCTGTGCCCACAGATCCCCTGACTGTGCCCAGAGATCCCCTGGCTGTGCCCACAGAGCCCCTGGCTGTGCCCACAGAGCCCCTGGCTGTGCTGGTGGCTGAGTCAGTGTGTGGCACAGGTGACCATGGGGGTTTCTGTGGGCAGAGCCACCGAAATGTGAGTGATGGAGTCTGTTCCCTGTGAAGGCAGGAGCTGTGGGTTTGTAGGAGGCAAAGGATACCTGTCACAGGTGAGCCCCCAGTGACAGAGGAGATGGAATGGCTGGGAATGTTGACTGAGTTGGAACTAAACACGAAAAATATTAACAACTCCGTGCTGTACCCAAACTTCTGTTCCTTTTGGTGCCTTATTCCAAATCCTTCAAAGTATTTCATATACTTCCCCTTCTTTTATTTGCAGGCTTTGATCTGGAGAGGTTGTGCTGCCTTTTTCTGGTCTGAATAGGAACCATCTCCCCTGCCCCACTCGGATCCTGCGACATCTCCACGTTTCCAGTGAGGTAGGAAGACCTAATTTTCATAAGCCTTGCAGAAGTGATTTTTGTGTTGGTGGCCCTCCTGGGATGTGTAATGTAAATCACCTGGATTAGGAGAGCTGTGATTACATGTAACAGAGCTGTTCTCAGGCACAGCTGAGGGCTCTCTGTGCTCCCTGAGCTGCAGGGTTTGCTCACTCCTCTCCTCGTGGTGCTGTGGTTTTGTTTAATGCCACCTGCCTGAAGTGTTCCTGAGCACCTCACTCACAGCCCAGTAGTGTTGGCTCCTCTCACTTTCAGTGGAAATGTGGTTTTTGAACAAGGCCATCCATAGATGGTGTTTTTCCTGCATGTCTACAAAGCCTTGCCAGGCTGCAGCTCTGCCTGGGCTGGTGAAGAACCATCAGGGCTCTGTTACTTAATTATTTATGTTGACCTTAACTGTTAGTTTCTGTCATTAAAGAACAGGCCAAGTGATTAGTGCTCTCGGCCTAATCTTCTTAGCAGGAAAACTGTCCCTTGAAGGTCTGTCCTAATCAAACAGGCATAAAGAAGGACGAGGAAAGGATGAGACTCCTGATCTGGTTCACTTTCCATGGGAATTGGCAAAAGGGAATCAGATTTGGATGGTTTGTTACAATTCATAAATACAGATTTCCCAAAACAGTGGTAAATGATGTTCTGGCAGCAGAAAACACATTTTCCTGAGCATGGGACAAATATCCTTTCCTTCCTACCAGTATCCCCACCATGAGATTTGACACTGGAAAAATACCTGTGCTCCAAGTGTGGTAATCTCATAAAAATAATTTTGTGTGTAAGTAGACTTCAGTGAGTCACTGTGAAGTACCTGCTTTTAATATATTTGTATATACTCAGTCATTATAAGGTCATTCATAATCTCTGGGATACTTGGTATTACCAAACTAACCTTGTGTGATCCTGATAGCAATGGAAAGATTTATGACAGGTTTCAAAAAACACTCATCAGAGTTCTCTATCTTGATGGAAAACTGAGAAATGTAAATTTGGAAATTTTTTTCCATGTATTTAGTTCTTGGGGGGGTTTATCCTTTAAAGAATGTTTCTTTCCTCTTTTCTTCCAACATTTTTTCTGAAGTATTTTGTTTACAACACGAGTGCACAGTTCAAGTTCTTGAGAATCATCAGACTTATAAATGTAATGGAAACCTTGGGAAATTATAGGCAAACTCTCATTTGCTTTGTGCTCTCAATATCGCAGAGCATCCTGAGGAAAGCAGCTGCTTTTCTTTTTCCCATTTAGTTAGGAAATGTTCCAAGCCTTGGTGTTCTTTGAGGGGGTGAATGGTGTTCTTCAGGTGCTATAAGCTGAATTTGTGGAGGAATGGCAATGCTGAAATCCCAGCTTCCCTGGGGTTAGTGTTCTTGATTTTGAGGTGAGGATGAGAAGGGAAAACAATGGATGGAGCACAGAAAGGACAGAAAAACACTGAGAAGGTGGGACAGGAGAGGTGGAAGGGAGCTGGCATGGGGACATTTGGAAAGATTTTGGAGAGACAACACGTGTGGTCAGCTGTGACTTTCTCACACTGTGATGTCTAGACTGATTTTGTTGTCTTGGAGATTGTAAGTTCTCTTTAAAAATGTGTAGCCCCTGCAAAAGAGCCCCGTTTGGGGAGCAGTGGTGTGCTGCTTCCATTGATGGCAGTGGTAGAAAAAGGAATTGTGCTGTGGGATTCCTGCCCTGCCTCAGAGCCTCATCAGACTGAGCGGGGTGATGGGGCTGGGAGAAGGTGACACAATCCCAAAATAAACCCTGGGACCAGGGTGGAAGAGAAGAGATGGGTGGTGAACACCCCAGGGAGGTCTCAGGTGATTGGTTTGGGCATCTCAGGTAATGAAAACTGCAGGTTCAGTTGTGTTGAAGACAAACACAGGTAATGAAAAGCAGGTGTGGGTGAGTATGGGAGGACCTCACACGAGTGCAAAGGAGACAAGGAGAAAAGCTCCAGAGGAGAATTACTCTTCTAATGTCCATGGGAAAATTGGCTTGCTTTAGCAGAAGTGTAACTTTTAAATTTGTATAGCTGGTACAAGCAGTTACAATCTTATTTTGCCCAAGGGCAGGATATTGTGAACAGAGACCCCAGGCCTGAGCCAGCTGAGGGAGAAAAATCAGCAATTTTGGTTCTGTGTCAGTGGAACACACTCTGTTCACTTCCCTGTAAAAAGGAAATTCCTTCTCCATGCTAGTCAGAATGGTTCTTTTGGACCTGGAATAGACTTGGTCATTAAACTGAAGGCTTTGATTTCAACCTGGGGAGGAAAAGGCCCTTGTTCATATTCTGGTACCGTTTCATAGATTTAATTGTGGGGTATTATTATAATTACCTGTTTAGTGGCTAATTGCTCTTCCATAAGTGCAGAGGAAGGGGAGAACAGGGCCCAAGGCTGTATTTCAGGGTACAAGAGGGTATATATATTTGTTACAGTATTTTAATGCATATCTTGATCTCCTGGTATAAGAATATAATGTATTTTTAGTAACCTTCCTCTATTTTATTTTAATACCAAGAAAAACGCCTGGGAATGTGTTTGCAGCTCTTCACCTGGGTGATATGCTGGCATATGAGAGACAGTTCTCATGTGATTTTCCAAAATACTTTTTAACTAGCACAAGGCTCTGTCAGAAGCTGCTGTGAAAATGTGGTTTTATTTCAGTGGCTCCAAAACCCCCTGGCACCACATCAGCAGCCCAGCCATGGTCAGTAGGAGCCTGAGCAAACAGCAAACATTTGGCCCTGGCAGTGCCCCAGGCCATGGACACTGGGGCTGGAGCAGCCTGGGATAGTGGGAGGTGTCCCTGCCCACAGGACATGGGGTGGGACTGGATGGGCTTTGAGATCCCTTCCAACCCAAACCATTCTATAATTCTCTGATTTCACCATTATTGTCTCGTGTTATGAATTGTTTATTAAATAATTTAATTGTTAATTAAATAATGAATTATTTTCATTATTTGTGTTTACAATTAAAAGTTTAATGATAAGGACTGATAATAGTTGAGGATAAATTTTGAAGATTCTTAAGGGATTTAGTTTGTTTATCTAATTGTGGAGATAGATTCAAGTCCATTAGAGTAAGATTATCCAGCATGTCTTTACCAGGTACAAATTGGAGAGGTTTTCCTCAGACAAGAGTTTGTTGTTGTTTTCCTCACTGAAAAATGTGGTCTTGTGGCAGATGTTGAGAGATTTTCTTGCAGTTTCTCCAGCAGATCCAATGTCTGAGCTGTCTTTGTTCCATAGCTGGTGTGACCCCACTGGACACAGACAGAGCCCTGGAGCCCTGCCCGTGGACCAGCCAGGGTCAGAGCTGGGCACAGAGTGACCCAGGGGCTGGAGCCCATTTCCCTTTCCCTGCTAACAGTTTTGCTTCCCAGAGGTACAGATTACAGACTCTTGGAGCTCAGAGAGCTGTGCCAGTGACACATCTTCAGGGATGCTGTGTCAGGGGCAGGGAAGGTGTGTGTCCAGCCCCACAGGTGGGCACACTCACACTGGGCACGGAGCTCTGGGGCTGGGGACGTTCAGATTTGCCTAAAAGCCATGTTGACAAATGCATAAGTTGTGCCTCTGTGATATTTAAAGCCCACACACACCATTTACAAATAAAAATCATAGAACGTAGATAATTTCAGGTTTTCTTTCACTTGATCAATTCTGATAAAAAGGCCATGCTTGGATTAAATGTTTTTATTCCCACAACCATGTGACACTTTAGGGGACAGTAACATTTGTGAAATAACCTGTCTAAGAAATAACAGAGGAGAGGAAGCCACCTGAAGAGCCTGGTGTCAGGTCCAGCATCCTGGGGCCAGGTCCAGGACAGTGGCAGTGCCCAGTCCATGCCGTCCCTGTGGCCACCACGCCGTCCCTGTGGCCACCACACCGTCCCTGTGGCCACCACACCTTCCCATCCGGGCTGCTGGCTGAAGGACACGGCTGGGCCACAGCAGAGGAGCCGTGTGAATGAACTCGAGTGATTTTAAAAGTCAAGTGATTTTAAATCCTTGCGGGCACCGAAAGTGTTTCTAATTAAAGCCCATGGAGGAGCAGAGAGGAATTCCGGCATTACCGGCAGCGCAGCAGGGACAATGAGCACCGGCCTCTCCTTCTGAGCAGTGCTGGGATTTGTTTGAGGCTCTGTAGAGACAATGCTACAACATCTTTACACACAGCACCGGCTTTGTAGTCCGTGTTTCCTTGGAGCCTTGGCACGGGGAAGGACACGCATGTCCAGGCATTTTCCAGGTGGCAGGATTTCCTTCTCCAGTCCCGGCGCCGCGAACCCCCTCCTTTCAGCCCCGGCACCGTTTAAATAGATCATTTGTTTTCATTACAGGTTTTTGCATCCCCGCCTTTCATTGCTGTTAATGAATTTCTAGGGTCTGATTGGGAAACAAAAGGCAAACACAAATATAAAAAGGGCTGTGACAAAGGAGCCGGGTGAGCTGTGGCAGGCTGTGCCCCGCACGGCCGCGGCTGCGGGGCAGCGCTGGTTAATGTGCTGGTTAATATGCTGGTTAATATGCTAATCTGCTCGCGGCCAATTAACATTCCGCTCAGGTCGGAGCGGCTCGGCAGGCTCGGGGAGCTCGCCCGGCAGCCCCGGCCGTGGCCCCGCCGCTCGCCGCGCCCCGCTGCCCTCCGGGCCAGGTACGTACCGTGCTCCCCGTCCGGAAAGCGCTGCCAACGGGGATCTGCGACTGCCACCTATGATTGGCTCGTTCCTCTGCCTCCGCGTCCCCAAAGATCCCCACTGTAACACACCATGTGTTCCTGCTGCTGGAGGAGCCCCGAGTGTAGCGTGCCAAAATCCAGCAACAATGAAGTCAGACGGAGTTTAGCATCCAAAACAAAGGGACGGCATTTCTGTAGCTCGCTGGCAACACAGCAGTCACAGGATGGTTTGAATTTCCCTTTATTCTCTCTCCCCACCCAACCTCAGCCCAAGAGAAAACCAACATTTATTAAAATCCA